GAGTCTGGACTGGCACTAAGGCTGGGGGCTGAGTCTGAATCAGCACTGGGGCTGGGGGCTGAGCCTGGGCCAGAACCAGTGCTGTGGGCAGTAGCGCTAGGACTGGGGGATGGGTCTGGGTTAGCACTGTGTGTTGGGGTTGGGTTAACTGACGTTTTTGTTTCCTGTGCTTTTGTCAGTGGGTGACTATATAGTTTCGAGTCATCTGTTGTGGTATGGGCATTCTGCATTTTTTGGTTCACTCCTACTATCTCTTCCTACCATGTTTTATATATCTTTGGTAGACTGTCCAAGAGTTCATCTTTATTTTCTTGCTTATTTTTTATTATTTATTACCCTCCTTAGTACCTTTCTGATACCTGCATAAAGCTCTATTCTTTATTGCACAACCAGAAGCACCTTGCTACTTCGAGGTCATTTTTTGCACAAAAGATATGATGCTTGGAAAAGTACAGGTTGCATGTGATCTTGGGTTTCTTTCAAAGGATTTTTTACATGTCCCACAGGTATGTTGTACTGACATCCTGCCCGTATCCTACTTCACTCTGTGAAGTAGGATACGGGCACTCTGTGAAGGATACTGTATAAATCTTTCCAGATTCATTCCTCACTGATCACTCATATATATTTTAATTTACTGATCTTACCGAGTTCCTCGCACTGATCTAGAATGGGTATATGTTGTTATATGGTTGGCCTGTGGGGTTGCATGGTAGCATTGCCAGACGTATGGCTGTAACCCATCGCCCCAGGAACCCAAGGAACCCTAAATTTCTCCAGAACCCCACCAGTGAGGTCCACCACATCCTCCCAGTCCTTCCCTGTCCCCCAACTCACCGTCTCCAACACACACAGCCACCATTACCACATACCTTTGATCTTTCTTTAAATGAGTTGAGAGATTCTCTTTCTCGCAGAGAAATAACTTTTCGTACTCTCCTTTCAGGCCGCATACCCGGGTACACCAGATCTACTCACCCTCTCTTAATTCTCGCTCGCTATATTTTCCCTTTGTTATTTGCTCCCCGTTTTATCTTATTTTGTTTTATATACCTTATTGGATTACTTTTTTTTATTTTCTTCCTTGCTAAAAACAAAAAAAACTGAACCTAGGAAACAAACTTAGTAAGACGTTTCAGTTCGACTTGGACCATTAACAAGTCACACTCTTGTACTCCCATTCAAAGGCAGGTGAAATCGCAGATCTGGAGAATATACAGAGAACCTGCATTGCCCATACAAGTTCAGTCAAGGAGCTTTAAATACTGGGAACGTTAGGAGTCTCTTGGTCTGTACTCCCTCGAACGCAAGTAAGAGAAATGTATCATAATCTACACCTGGAAAATCCTAGAGACTGGTCCTAAATCTACACACAAAAATCATTCCATACGAAAAGCAGGGGCGCCATGAGTACACTAAGAGAAAACACAATAAGCGTCCGGACAAAGACTGTTCAACAGCCTCTCATCACGCATAAGGGGAATTACCAAAAGACCCCTGGCTGCCTACCAGAGGGAACTGGGCACATACCTAAAGTCAGTGCCCGATCAGCCGGCCTGTGGTTCGTACGTTGAATTGCATGCGTCCAGCAGTAACAGCCTAGTTGATCAAGCTCTGAACCACCAGCAGTCCTGATCAAGGTCTGGACTGCGGGGGTGTTGACCACCGGAACCTCCAGATAGGTAGGTAAATTCTGTTTTGTTAAATTCTCTCTCGCTATATTTTCTCCTCACTTCCACCTTCACCATCAGTGTCCATCTTTTTTCACATTCCTCACTATATCGCTCTCAAGGGGCGGTGGGGAGGAATGGGTTCACTTATGCCGGTGAAAGGATCTAAATTAAAAGAACTGGAGCTACCCTCCTCTTCCTCGAATCAAACCTGGTTGCCGCATTCCCAGACATTGTATAGACCCTAACATGCTGATATATGAAACAAAAACAAGTCATCATTATTAATATGAGTAAATCTTCGAATATATGAATTAAGTTTTTTAAAAAACACGAATAATTCGTCACGTCTATTTTTCATTTTTCTTCTGGTTATCTGATCCCAAGACGAATTCAAACATCTTTTTCAATTAACTTTTCTTATTCCAGCTAGTTCCTTCTAAGAATCTCAAGACTCCTGCCTCCTACACTCGTTTATTTTCGAGTGGTTCTGATAAATATACAAATGTTATTTTAGAGTTTCATAGCCATGTGACTGGAGCAGCAGATTCTCCCCAGTTAACTGACTGAAGCAGCATCTGTTTATCAATCGCGTTGCTGACGAAGCGGATGCTGTCAGTAATGAGTTGGCTTGTGTCAATAACGAGTTGACCTGTGTCAGTAGTGAACTGACCTGTGTCAATAGCGAGTAGCCTTCACGACATCCCCTCCACCAATAAATAACATTTAATTTCTCTTGTCTTTATGAATTGACAGTCTTCCTGGTAGAGGAATCGTCTCCTCAATCTATAAAATACCATAACCCTGATATCTTCATATTGTGGATATACTGTATACAAGGACCCCAATGAAAGGTTCTCTACACATATGCTGTTATGTATGATAATCTATGTAACTGTATTTGTATATACCTGAATACACTTACTAACTTACTTGCTTATTTAATCATTTTACAACATATCCGGGAAAACTTGAAATTCGTGTACAACATATGAAGGCTGAAGGAACATATAGAACCTGAACAGGAAGAAATTTCCATTACATGAAAAGTTCTGTATGAGAAGAATTTCTACATGAAAAATTGATTTTAGGAGTGTGACTACGGGAGGCTTCTGTGAGAAGAAACTCTTAAGGCTTTACAAAACGATATTATAATAAGTCTAAGATATTCTAATTTTCGCCAAAATGACAAATCCTTTGACTGAGAATTTAGTGTAATGTCTTTCTTGAACTAGTCCAGGATTGCTTTTTTGAAGCAGTCTGTAACAGAGTCAACCAAAAAAAAGTAACTTGTTGACCTGACTTTTTTAAACAAGGAGGCACTAGTAAATCATCCAAGAGATCATGGAAAAGTTTGGCGTAACTGATCGCAAATCTCTTACTTTTCAGTATTAACTGGGAATGTGATGGTAAAGACAATACGGTAAAGGTCCCAGATTTTCGCACTACAGATTATAACTGACTTAGTGAGCACTTGTATAACACTGACTGGGGTTACCTGGCTAATGATTCTATCCCTGAGGATCTTACAGGTAGTAACCAAGGGAGCTGGCACTATGACATGTTTCTAAATAATGTACAAGTAAACCAAAGTACATATATTGCCCAAAGAGAGATCAACTAAAAGTTACTGAAATGGATGAACAGGAGACTACAACCAATGGGAAAGATGCGAGTTTACCATCTACAACTCGTCGGTATTTCGATACCATTTACTGCTGCAACTTGTTAGCTACTGCAGATATTGAATAATATATGTAGAGAATTCCTGGACCTTCCGAATAAAGCGTACATTTTCCGGAAGACACTTTCCTTCGTAACTACTTTTTAGAGATTATCCTTTATCGATCTACTCCAGTTCAGCTGTAAGCAAACCTCTTTCCCAACCTGCCGCATCTACTCCACAGAATATGTAGATTATCTCGAAAGCAGGTCCAACGAAGCTTACTATCTTTCTAGCGCTACGACTATTTATGTAAAACATATTGAAAAACCTTAGTTTCAGTTTCCTCTCCCTATTCATCCCTGCTCCTCCACTATCTCTGCTGCTTCCCTTATCACCTAATGACACTGAATTTCCAATATTAACCAATAATCCTACCTCATTCTGCCTACAACTGCTATCCCCAAAACGCACAATATCGCTACCCTGGTAGTTCAAACTGTTCAATTCTATTTTACCAAAATTCATTCTCTATCCACAAAAAAACTCTAACTCTACATAAAAGCTCTAGCAGCTCCCTCCTCTGAACTAGCCAATGCCTTAATCTCAGCTCTAGACAAATGAATACCGTCCCAGGCATGTATGTCGTTTCTGCTACTGCTACTATTGCCTCGCTAACGCTCCAAACTGACTCATGTCACTACCACTCCACATACTGACTCATATCACTACCACTACTCCCGTCTTATTACCACCTCTGCCACTATTTCTCTAATTACTACTACACCACCACTGTAATATACTGCCTCCCTTCTCTTTATGTTTCTGTGTGAATTGTTAATAGTCCAAGTCGGACCGAAATATCTTAAGTTTCTTTCTTCAATGTGCGGGTTATTTGTGTCTGGGGTATCTCTTTGTTGTACACGGGTGTTCCTTAAAACGTTAACCCTGCTAACATACGTTAGCCAATTCTCGGTTCAACATACTTGTCACATTCTCTACATGGCATGGCAGATTCCTGCAGTAGTGGATGACTGTTTTTTGCTTATACCCTGAATCTTTGACAAGAGGCTTTTAGAGTTTGTAGCAATCTTGAATTGGTTGTTGGTAAAATTAATATATTCGTTGGATACCTCGGTATTGACTGTGGGTGGTACGGTAAGTTTGTTAGAAATGAGTTTTAGCTTATGGTTCCGCCGAGTAACTTATGACCAAATGACGTGAAATAGCCTTATATATATTTTTGAGCCCCTGGATAGAGGCAACTTCATCTATATCATTATTTCGTTTTTCTTAAAACCTCTTTATAAGACACAGGCGCAACACTATATACCTTTATCAGTCGAATATTGAGATGAAATACAGTTCTGTAGCAGACGAAATGGTGAGGTAGTTGAGGTAATCATTCCCTCAGCCTTGCTAGAAGATAGCAGACTTCGCCTTTCTCCAGGATTTCAATTTATTGTTGTATTCGATTGATGATGACGAAAGGCGAAATGCTTCGTCAATAAAAATAACTAGTATTCAACGTGTCTTACTCATGAAGTTGTCAATATTTTATTACATTTATAGTTAAAAACCCTTATCTGAAATATTCCCCAACATCTACCTACCTCATTCGAGTGCGTACTTTAAAACAACGTCCTCCTTTCCTCCTCTTTGGTCAGAAGCCGCCCCCGAGAAGTTCAGAGAAAAGAGGAGCAGGATCGGCACGATGGAAAGCGACACCATGGCTCTGGAGATGGAGCTGAGGCACAAGCTCAGACTCAGCCTCAACGTATCTCAAGAAGACCTCCTTAAAATTATGGAGGCCTTCATGGATATGAATGTCACCACCACCGCCAACACTACCCACCACTACTGCCAGTTTAGTGAGTATGATGGCAGTACCTCCCTACACTCCCCCCCCCCTCTTTCTTTCTCTCTCTCTCTCACACTCTCTCTCTCTCTCTCATTCACTAATTTCTTGTCCTTTGGTACTTTGCCTTCTTTTATGACGTCATAAATAGTGGCATTACTGGCAATGTAACTTGCCACATTGAGTCTGAGATTACTGGTCGTTAATTAGTCAGGACCGGTTGATCTGTTTATATTTTTTCTCTCTCTAAATTTTGAATTAAACCTTTACTGAAAATTTTGTTGATATTTTATGCATCATATTTTTATCCTGCGAAGATCTTTGAAAGACAGGAGACAGAGAGAAGAGAGAGAGAGAGAGAGAGAGAGAGAGAGAGAGAGAGAGAGAGAGAGAGAGAGAGAGAGAGAGAGAGCAACTACATGTATGACAATAAATCACTATTTGGAGGCAAAATCTATTTTAAAGGCAATGCTTCATCAACACAAAATTTTTATCAAGTCAGTGAAGTGCACACACATACGATAAATACATTAGGTTTATTAATTAAGAAAACGTTTTGCCCGTTGAGGTGGCTTTATCAAGGCCAATACTGAGAAATGAAATAGACGGTATGAGCTACTTAATAACTGTGTCCAGTTGCGGCAGGCGAGAACATCTGAATTTACGAAACTTCCAAGATTATGTCTAATAGTATTGGTAGCAGCAGACTCTAAACAGCATCTGTGGTGCTGTCATTTTTTTCCTGATGACTAATTCTGTATTTTTTAATTTCGCTTGTCAACATAAAGCACAGAGTATTCTCCAAAACTAGTGTCACAAAATAAAGCTGACATCCTTCCAGTTGTTGACATGAATTCTCTGGCAAATTTGTTAGTCCATCAAAGTGGCATCATTATATCTGTCACCTCTGAAACCATTCAGGATATTAACAGACCCTTGAACCGTAGCTATGCCAGTATTGAAGCAGGCATCAGTGGTTGGAATTCTGCTTGGAGAATTAAGACAATTTTGCAACACTTGCGTGTCATTATTGTGGAAACGTTTCGCCAACCAGTAGCTTCCTCAGTCCAAGATTTATAGACATGGACTCCAGGCTGAGGGACTGATTACCTCATACTCCTGATCTTCAACCATTCTTCTCTGTACTGGACTGAGGAAGTCATTGGTTGGCGAAACGTTTCCACAAAAGAGATACCCAAGTGTAGAACATGTGTTTAATTTATCATCATGTCGGTTCTCCGAACTATTTATCTACATTTCTGCATGGAGAATTCGTGCAAGAGTTCTTGAACACAAACATACCTGCAAAGCAGAACACTTGCACAGACACAGCTAGTGAACTGAAGGGTTCACACAATTATAAAGAAGAAAAATAGAAAAATTAGTGTGTTTAGAGGTTTCACACACATATACACTCATACTGAACCATGGGGTATTTAGCATCTCCAAACCTCTGGCCAAATTAATCTTGACAAAATACTTCAAAACATTCTGTGAAAGTGCTCCATCATCCATTACCTGATTATGTCTACCTTTGACTCGCTATTTGTATATATTGTCTTGCTAAATGTGCCTGATAATGTTGACCTGATAAAGGCCTTTGTCGTTTAAATAAAGATTTTGTTTGCAAATGGTGTTATATTACTATACTTTCTGGTAATCTTGCCATTACAACGTATGCTTGTCCACTCAAAGATAAGACAAACCAACTTCGCCAAGCTATGCCTGCCTTACAGACTTGCGGGACCGCTACAAGTGGCTACACTACCGCTTGGCTGTCTGCATAGCTGTGACGGGTGCAATCACCAACCTGCTAACAATAAGCACGCTGACACGGCGCAACATGACCACACCCACCAACCTCCTCCTGCTGGGGCTGGCAGTGGCTGATCTGCTGGTTGAGGTTGAATATATTCCCTATGCCACCTCCTCGCTCCTAGGAGGTGACCAGCTCATGGCAGCAAAGGAGCACGCGCTCTATGTCCTCATACACGCCCACCTCTCCCATGTGTGTCACACGGTACGTGTCCTGTTGTCATGAAGTAATTAGTCTTGCACATCATGACGCCCTGATTAGACTGATCAGAGACCAAGCTGAGTTTAGAGGATGGAGGAGCGAGCCTTCATACCTTGCGCTGAATGACCCATGTGGGTTTTGTGTTTCATGAGAAATATATGTAAAATTGTACTCAGTCTAGTCAAAAAAAAAAAAATAGATATAATGGGTGGAGTATGAATCGTTTTAACGAAATTAATGCAATCTCTCTGTGAGGAATAATTTCCAGCCAAATTAGTTTAGCCAAATGTAAAAAAAAATCATTATTTTCGGTAATTCGACTCATGCTGTACTCTGTATTTTAATAATTCTGAGATAGTCATGTACAAATCTAATATCTGAGTAAAGGCATGGTTGTATAAAGATGACATTTCATTTCAAGAGGCGGGGGGGAGGGGGGGTGACACTGATGTTGAAGGGCTCTTGATCCAATACCACACCCTGTTATTTCTTATGTTGCAATTCTTTCAACATCAAGGGTGGATAGTGTACTCCAGCCGAGACCCCTCATTTTAAAAACTTACTGTGATAATTACCTCGCATAGGTTTCCGTAGCAAGGTTCCAAGATGACGACCTGTTCCGCTGTTAACTTATTCAGGAAGTGCCCGCTCTATCTCTTGTGGTCCACTCATACTCCACAACTAATACCTTTCGCAAGCCTAATCCTCCTAACGCCAACAAAGGAGTGCTTGACTAAGTTGGATGCCATTCAAGCATGTAACTAAGTCCACAAAAAATATATATTAATCTTATTTCAAGAAACATGAGCCAGTCTTACCAAGGTAAACAACATTTCAAGTATATTTAACACACATTTCACACCAAAAATAATTTGACATCCTATAAATACAATTTAGTGCAGTATGCGAAACCCTCAATGCCGAGAACTTGGGAAAGTTCATTAGACTGCATGAAGGTTCACAACAAGGACGTATGTAATGCATCCATGCAAAACTGAATCCCAAGTGAGGGACAGGGTTTGCCAAACGCAGCAGGAAATAGCCCGCGAAGGAGTAAATCTGGCAGTAACACTCCAGGCTGTAATGCCACGTATAGGCGGGCATTGTCTGCCGAGCTGTCTCTCCTCCAGAAATCGTAGGAGTGCACATTAATGACGCCTAATGGGTGTAACCCATCAATTTTGAGCTGCTTTATACGCGAGAATCATATCAGACTATTCAAAAACCATTCCTAAAAATGATTGTAGGGAAGGACCACATCGTAGACTAGCACATGGGGAGAAAGTTGTTTAACCTTTGATCGGGCTAAGTGAAGAGCCACCATTTCCCAAGCGAAAAACCAATAGCAATTCAAGGCTATTGTTGTTACACTGCCATCTAAGGTCCTGATGTGCTACCCCGGGAGTACAGTAGAAAACGAGCAGTAGTCTGCAAGAGCGTCCATATACGAGGAGGCTTTGATTATCCCTGTGACACGATTGAATTTAGTGTCTACATAAATATAATAATTTTGGTGTTTGTTACAGATTGCAATATGGCTGACGGTAAGCCTGGCAGTATGGCGGTGGGTAGCAGTGTGCCGGCCCCACGCGGCACCTAGCATCTGTACTATGGTCCATGCCCGCAGGGTACTGCTTACAGTGTACTTGGCTTGCCCCGCCCTCGCCACGCCTACCTTTCTCATGTACACCGTTAAGGAGTACCACAATAAGGCCGGTGCCAAGGTCTTCCGGGTAGACTTCTCCACCTTGGCTCTTGCCCACGACGAACTGCTTAAGAAGGTCAGTCAACAGTACGCCTCTATAAAAAAATTGTATAAATACTTAACCCGTACATAGGAGAAAAACTTGTGAGGACGTTTCGTTACGATTTGAACCATTAACTATTCACTGTATTGTTCCTTTTTTTTCAAGATGTATAAATATTAGTAATGTATACAATGTGTAGGTTCTGATGTGACGTACATTTAAGTTTGATATATAAGTTTTCTTTAGATTTTTCACTTCTCCAAGAATATTCGGAGCTTGAATTTTTTTTCATCGGCCCTGGAGACCGTCCATTGCTTTGGATGACACAATCTTTCAAGAGATCGATACTTTTTACTATAATTCATGTCTCTCCTACTTGCCTTTGCCTCATGACTTTCTTAAGAAGTTAAGATAAGCAGGAAGCTCGTTTGTGGTGCAAGCAATCCTTCAACAAAAACCATTCAAATTCATGGTACAATTATATATATATATATATATATATATATATATATATATATATATATATATATATATATATATATATATATATATATAATTTTTTTTTATTATCACACTGGCCGATTCCCACCAAGGCAGGGTGGCCCGAAAAAGAAAAACTTTCACCATCATTCACTCCATCACTGTCTTGCCAGAAGGGTGCTTTACACTACAGTTTTTAAACTGCAACATTAACACCCCTCCTTCAGAGTGCAGGCACTGTACTTCCCATCTCCAGGACTCAAGTCCGGCCTGCCGGTTTCCCTGAATCCCTTCATAAATGTTACTTTGCTCACACTCCAACAGCACGTCAAGTATTAAAAACCATTTGTCTCCATTCACTCCTATCAAACACGCTCACGCATGCCTGCTGGAAGTCCAAGCCCCTCGCACACAAAAACCTCCTTTACTCCATCCCTCCAACCTTTCCTAGGCCGACCCCTACCCCGCCTTCCTTCCACTACAGACTGATACACTCTTGAAGTCATTCTGTTTCGCTCCATTCTCTCTACATGTCCGAACCACAACCCTTCCTCAGCCCTCTGGACAACAGTTTTGGTAATCCCGCACCTCCTCCTAACTTCCAAACTACGAATTCTCTGCATTATATTCACACCACACATTGCCCTCAGACATGACATCTCTGCTGCCTCCAGCCTTCTCCTCGCTGCAACATTCAACACCCATGCTTCACACCCATATAAGAGCGTTGGTAAACCTATACTCTCATACATTCCCCTCTTTGCCTCCAAGGACAAAGTTCTTTGTCTCCACAGACTCCTAAGTGCACCACTCACCCTTTTCCCCTGATCAATTCTATGATTCACCTCATCTTTCATAGACCCATCCGCTGACACGTCCACTCCCAAATATCTGAATACATTCACCTCCTCCATACTCTCTCCCTCCAATCTGATATCCAATCTTTCACCACCTAATTATATATATATATATATATATATATATATATATATATATATATATATATAATATATATATATATATATATATGCATGTCGTGCACAACAGGTAAAACTTGCGATTTTGGCTTAAATAGCAATGCTCTTCTAGGCGAATAAGGCAAGCGAAAATTTGTGTAAGCAATAATTTCGCAAAAAATCATTCTGAAACTAACGAAAAAAATATATTTCACTGTTTGTTTATTCAATTATTGTTTATTTATCTAATATTTAGCTGAATTATGCTAATTTAAATTGTGCCTGTTATAATAAGGTTAGGTAAATTTTCTAAGGTTCTTTTGGTACAATATTAAGTTTAACATTAACTTATACCTTTAAAGATATATTTTTTTCATTTATAAGAGAAAATTTTAGAAACGGAATAATGCGCTAGTAACCCCTTTTCCTGTAATAATTACTAAAAAGAATAAGAAAATTGTCAAAGTGGGAAGTTTGAATGTGCGTGGATGTTGTGCGAATGATAAGAAAGAGATGATTGTGGATGTTATGAATGAGAAGAAGCTGGATGTCCTGGCTTTAAGTGAAACAAAGCTGAAGGGGGTGGGGGAGTTTCAGTGGAGAGGAATAAATGGGATTAGGTCAGGGGTTTCTAATAGAGTTAGAGCTAAAGAAGGAGTAGCAATAATGTTGAAGGATAAGCTATGGCAGGAAAAGAGGGACTATAAATGTATTAATTCAAGGATTATGTGGAGTAAAATAAAGGTTGGATGTGAGAAGTGGGTTATAGTAAGCGTATATGCACCTGGGGAAGAGAGAAGTATAGAGGAGAGAGAGAGATTTTGGGAAATGTTGAGTGAATGCGTGGGGAGTTTTGAACCAAGTGTGAGAGTACTTGTGGTTGCGGATTTTAATGCTAAAAAGGGTAAAAATATTGTGGAGGGAGTAGAAGGTAAATTTGGGGTGCCAGGGGTAAATGAATATGGGGAGCCTTTAATTGAGCTATGTGTAGAAAGAGGTTTGGTAATAAGTAATACATATTTCATGAAAGAGAGGATAAATAAATATACAAGTTATGATGTAGCATGTAATAAAAGTAGTTTGTTAGATTATGTATTGGTGGATAAAAGGTTGATGGGTAGGCTCCAGGATGTACACGTTTATAGAGGGGCAACTGATATATCGGATCATTATCTAGTTGTAGCTACAGTTAGAGTAAGAGGTAGATGGGATAAGAGGAAAATGGTAACAAGTAAGAGGGAGGTGAAAGAGTATAAACTAAGGGAGGAGGAAGTTCGGGTGAAATATAAGCAACTATTGGCAGAAATGTGGACTGGCGCAGGTATGAGTAGTGGGGGGGGGGGGTTGAAGAGGGTTGGAATAGTTTTAAAAATGCAGTATTAGAATGTGGGGCAGAAGTTTGTGGTTATAGGAGGGTGGGTGCAGGAGGAAAGAGGAGTGATTGGTGGAATGATGAAGTAAAGGGTGTGATAAAAGAGAAAAAGGTAGCTTATGAGAGATATTTACAAAGCAGAAGTGTTATAAGAGGAATAGAGTATATGGAGAGTAAAAGAAAGGTGAAGAGAGTGGTGAGAGTGCAAAAGGAGAGCAGATGAGAGAGTGGTAGAGGTACTGTCAAGAAATTTTAATGAAAATAAGAAAAAAAAAATTGGAGTGAGTTAAACAAGTTAAGAAAGCCTAGGGAACAAATGGATTTGTCAGTTAAAAACAGAGTAGGGGAGTTAGTAGATGGGGAGATGGAGGTATTGGGTAGATGGCGAGAATATTTTGAGGAACTTTTAAATGTCAATGAAGAAAGGGAGGCAGTAATTTCATGCACTGGCCAGGGAAATATACCATCTTTTAGGAGTGAAGAAGAGCAGGATGTGAGTGTGGGGGAGGTGCGTGAGGCATTACGTAGAATGAAAGGGGGTAAAGCAGCTGGAACTGACGGGATCATGACAGAAATGTTAAAAGCAGGGGGGAACATGGTGTTGGAGTGGTTGGTATTTTTGTTTAATAAATATATGAAAGAGGGGAAGGTAATTAGGGATTGGCGGAGAGCGTGTATAGGCCCTTTATATAAAGGGAAGGGGGACAAAAGTGATTGTAAAAATTAGAGGAATAAGTTTACTGAGTATATCAGGAAAAGTGTACGGTAGGGTTATTATTGAAAGAATTAGAGGTAAGACAGAATGTAGAATTGCGGATGAGCAAGGAGGTTTCAGAGTGGGTAGGGGATGTGTAGATCAAGTGTTTACATTGAAGCATATATGTGAGCAGTATTTAGATAAAGGTAAACAAGTTTTTATTGCATTTATGGATTTCCCAACTTCATGGTGACAAGTGTGTTTTTAGTTATGTATGTCACGTGACTCCCTCTCCGCGTACCTTCAACACTCTCTGTATCTACTATCTAAATTAACCAATATTTTGTATGGTATGAGTCTCGTCCCATATCTATATCACTACTACACTGCCCACATCACTACACTACACACATCACAACAGCACTACACACATCACTACAACACTACACAAATCACTACAACATTACACACATCACTACAAAAGGCATATGATAGAGTGGATAGGGAAGCAATGTGGCAGATGTTGCAAGTATTTGGAATAGGTGGTAAGATACTAAATGCTGTAAAGATTTTTTTATGAGGATACTGAGGCTCAGGTTAGGGTGTGTAGAAGAGAGGGAGACTACTTCCCGGTAAAAGTAGGTCTTAGACAGGGATGTGTAATGTCACCATGGTTGTTTAATATATTTGTAGATGGGGTTGTAAAATAAGTAAATGCTAGGGTGTTCGGGAGAGGGGTGGGATTAAATTATGGGAAAATAAATACAAAATGGGAAGTGACACAGTTACTTTTTGCTGATTATACTGTGCTTATGGGAGATTCTAAAGAAAATTTGCAGAGGTTAGTGGACGAATTTGGGAGTGTGTGTAAAGGTAGAAAGTTGAAAGTGAACATAGAAAAGAGTAAGGTGATGAGGGTATCAAATGATTTAGATAAAGAAAAATTGGATATCAAATTGGGGAGGAGGAGTGTCAGTGGAACGCCTTCCAACTGAACAAAAGAAATTAATGGAAAAATAAATAAAGAAATAACTTAAGAAAAAATGAGAAAAATGATTTTTGAGAATTTTACTTAAAATTTAAATAAATAAAAAAAATGGCCTTCAGTTCTTTTAGTTGGGCAGGAGTAGGTATGGCCCTGGATAGTTCCTCTGATGTTATTTATGTAGGTTATCCTGGGCAGATGGTAATCCGATGTTCTGGAATCTCCTACCACTTGGATGGAGCACAAGTAGAATAGGTAAGGGCCGGTAGAAGTAGAATAATGTTAATAAGTATTATTAACACGTCTTGCCCCTTTATCTGGCGTCTATCCTGGAAGACCACGCCAGGAACAGAGCTGGTAAATAAGAGAAAATAAAACTGGTTACCCATAGTCATGATAATATAACATTTAAGAAAGAAAAAGAATGATAAATGCCAAAATCATTACTGGTAACCAGCAAACACTAGAAAAGAACAAACAGTAATACTCCTGGTAGATCACCCTACCTGATTAGGAGAAGAGTGGAGGTGAAGTGACTCTCCAAACTTCAATCCACACCAGGTAAGGTCAATATTACCAGGAGTAGAAACTTTAACAAATCGGACACCAGGAACTAGTTTTGCCCCAGCCCGCCAGAGAGGGGGGGGGTGTGTGCGCGCGCAACGTAACTCGCTAATGGTTCCTGGTTGCCCGAACAACCTTAACCCCACTTACTCATAGAAAAGAGTAAGGTGATGAGGGTATCAAATGATTTAGATAAAGAAAAATTGGATATCAAATTGGGGAGGAGGAGTATGAAAGAAGTGAATGTTTTCAGATATGTGGGAGTTGACGTGTCAGCAGATGGATTTATGAAGGATGAGGTTAATCACAGAATTGATGAGTGGTGCACTGAGGTATATGTGGAGTCAAAAAACGTTATCTATGAAGGCAAAGAAGGGAATGTATGAAAGTATAATAGTACCAACACTCTTATATGGGCGTGAAGCTTGGGTTGTAAATGCTGCAGCGAGGAGGCGGTTGGAGGCAATGGAGATGTCCTGTCTAAGGGCAATGTGTGGTGTAAATATTATGCAGAAAATTAGGAGTGTGGAAATTAGGAGGTGTGTAGTTAATAAAAGTATTAATCAGAAGGCTGAAGAGGGTTTGTTGAGGTGGTTTGGTCATTTAGAGAGAATGGATCAAAGCAGAATGACATGGAGAGCGTATAAATCTGTAGGGGTCGTCCTCGGAAAGGTTGGAAGGAGGAGGTAAAGGAGGTGTTGTGGGCGAGGGGTTTGGACTTCCAGCAAGCGTGCGTAAGCGTGTTAGATAGGAGTGAATGGAGACAAATGGTATTTGGGACCTGACGAGCTGTTGGAGTGTGAGCAGGGTAATATTTAGTGAAGGGATTCAGGGAAATCGGTTATTTTATATGACCGGACTTGAGTCCTGTAAATGGGAAGTACAATGCCTGCACTCTAAAGTTTGGAGGTATACATTGTGTATTTTTATACGTATATACTTCTAAACTGTTGTATTCTGGGCACCTCTGCAAAAACTGATATTGTGTGAGTGAGGTGAAAGTGTTGAATGATGAAAGTATTTTCTTTTTGGGGATTTTCTTTCTTTTTTAGGTCACCCTGCCTCGGTGGGAGACGGCTGACTTGTTGAATATATATATATATATATATATATATATAATATATATATATAATATATATATATATATATATATATGTGTGTGTGTGTGTGTGTGTGTGTGTGTGTGTGTGTGTGTGTGTGTGTGTGTGTGTGTGTGTGTGTGTGTTCGTGTGTGTGTGTGTATGTGTGTGTGTGTGTGTGTGTGTGTGTGTGTGTGTGTGTGTGTGTGTGTGTGTGTGTGTGTGTGTGTGTGTGTGTATTTTAGAGGTCAGGTGTTTTAAATGAGGTCAGATTCGGTGGAGTCAGGTGCTTGTGCAAGAGACATCTGTTTAATTAGATTGTGGTAGGAGTAAAATCAGTTTAGCGAGAACTGATATTCTAACATTTCCTGAGTTCTTGGCCATTATTACGGATATTTCATTCCCAGCCTAAATGCAATGCTACTTGAACAATTTATTCTCCTTTAAAACTAACCTGACTTCTTTCCATTTCATCATGTGGCCTTGTATGGTATGTCACACAAATGTTTACCTTGTCTCTAATTCACAGTTACCTGTGCTCTGTCATTAAGATTTCTGGCCATCTCACCGATGTACACAATGTCGAATACATCACATGGGATGATATACGTATCTGCAGTGTTTTCAGTTGTTCTCGCTGGACTCTGTACCTTAGTGACAATGTTGGTCAACACAACAGTAAGCACAACATACCTAGTCGGTGACCGCTCTCGGGCGGCCCCGTTGAAGAGACCAATCAAGATGATGGAAATCAACCCTAGTGTGGATGTCATTCCACGCAGTTGCTGAGACAAGGAGAGAGCTTTTAAGATATTTGTGTATTGTCCCAGTCGCGGTATTGTGTCTTTGTTCTTCCTGCGACAAGGAGTACGTAGGCGAGACAGAATTCTAGACCAGCGAGTGAGAGCCTAAGATAGATTGCAGCAGATAACACTTGTGTAATGCACTGTAGTACAAGGGCATTGTATGAAACAGAAAGCCAGACTGGTTGTAAATGAGACTAATTTGCGGAAGTGACCTCCTGGTGTACCATGAATGTGGCATATCAACTTCCTGATGCATCTTACTCTCGTCATGATCAGTGTCTTGAAGCAAATGATAATTACCTATTACTAACTACAGGAGCAGAGCAATGCTCGTTTTGTGCCATCTACAATAACTTGTTCATCATATTTTTTTTTTCAAGTTTCCAATGGTTGTATCATTTTCTACTTTTAATCTGAACTCATTCCAGTTGTCTGTCACTGTTGCATAGTGACTTGTGTGTTGCAGATCAACTTCCTGGTGTACAGTGTGTTGGTGAAGCTGGTGCCGTGCCTGCTACTGACAGTGTTGATGCCAGCCATTATCAGGGGCATGTGGGTAGCCAAGAGTCGCCGGCAGCGGCTGGTGTGTCGTCGACCGTCAGCGCCAGTCAGCACCACCAATGGTGCCAACAACAACAGCGACCCCAGCGCCACCACCTCGGCGCGGCGGTTCTCGCGCTGTGGTGGTGGCAAAAAGAGTGCAGTCAAGAAATCTCTCTCTCTCGCCGACGGCGTAGACCACAAGAAAACTCACAAAAAAGGAGAGGTTAGTTATTAAATTATTATTATTATATTATTTCATTATTATACTACTCACTGGGAAGCATTCAACATTCAAGGGATATACGTCACCTTGGGAGGAGGAAGTAACAAAGTTTACTCCTAGGAAAAGGATGATAAGATTCAATTCCTTGAATCACGAGCCACTAAGATGAAGGCACTCTGCCTTCAAGGGAGGAGAGGTTAGTGCCGCAGCTTCCAATCTCTTGCTAATTACATGATAATTAAGCGCTGTTTACACCAAATTATCGTCAAATATTGATAACACATAATAGTGACTAATATTACCTTATTCACGCAAATTTGAAGACTATTTCGGTGAGCGTAATCATTGATTTTTTTTTTGGGGGGGGGGGGGGAACGTCTATCACGTGAACTCGTTGGGGTCAAACAGCACTCGAGAAAGGGAGGAAATTACGTTTGATCCGGATAAAAAGATTTTCCATCAGCGGGTCACCAGCAGCAACAGCCTGGTTGACCAGGCAAACATCAGACGAACTTGGCCCATGGCCGGGCTCCGGGAGTAGAAAAACTCTCAGACCTCAACAAAAGTATTTCTAAGGTGTTAAGATGGGGTGTGGTTGGGTGGAAATTGTGGGTAACCCAAAGGATAGATAGTGCATAGCTTCAGTGTATTAACGGAGAGGTTGAATTTAACAGAAGACCCACATTTACGAGAGTAAATGAAGAGGACGTTTCGGTCTGTCTTAAAACATTGTCAGGTCTTTTAGATAAATGGTGCAGAAAACTGACAGATTGATGAATGAGACACTTGTGCAACACTTGAATATCTTTATTGTGGACACGTTTCGCCAGGCAGTGATTTTCTCAGTCCAATACAGCGAAGAATGCGGAAGATCAGAATCTGTTTGAGGTAACTAGTCCCTCAGTCCGGAGTCAATGTGATCAGTCCATCACTCTAAATAAAAGAAGAGCATATACACGGAGAAGAGGTTTACATGCCGTAAACAGGTGAGGCGAAGCAGCCGGAGGCGGCGTCACAATGGAAAAATCTATCGGTGGAAGTAGGTCATGCAAGCATAGACTTCGACTCGAGGATGATGGACTGATTACCTCGAACTCCTCCTGATTTTCTACCATTCTTTTCTGTACTGGACCAAGAGAGCCCTTTGGTGAGGGACTCTTGGGGCAAATGAAGGATGAAGAGAATGGTTTAACTATGAACGATGTTAAAAAACTAGTTTCGCACTTATGTTGCACAAAAATCTCGAGATCAATCGTAAACCAAAAGGGATGTGGCTAGTTTCGAGGTGGTTCCATAAGCAGTATTTGCAGGTTTCTTGAGTAATTAAAGGAGAAATTCGTTTTTTTTTTCTAACACTGCGAGGTGACCGAGTACGATAAAAATAAAGAAGTATATGAAAGGTCACACAAGTTAATAAGCACTTAGGTTACCATCTTTCACTAACCTTTCATGGATACATCTAAACCTTTACTTCCTATTTGTTACTAAATATGACATAACCTTTAATGATGTAGAAGACTTGTAGCATCAACATTTCCTTGCTCGCCCCCTATTAACTGTTAACAACCTTGAAGCGCCATTGTTCATCTCTACCCCCCTCCCACCTTCACTTCCCGTCTTCTTGGAAATATTTGAAAAGCAAAAATTATTAAACGATGAAAATGAGAATTTTAGCAAATAAACAATATTAATATATTGAAAACTATTCATTAATCTCATATGGATCACATAACACTGTAAGGAGTGTGGAAGGTTAAGGGATTATGAAGGTGGAAATAGTAGTTAGCAGGGTTGGAGTTAGTCAGGATGCAAACTCAAAATCAAAGCTGGTGCAGTTAGTTTCAGTCAAAAAGTCCAAGTCCAAGAGAGCATTTTATTAATATAGGGTTAACTATCAACGCTATTCGACTGTCCTCACAGAGGGGTCGAGGCACTAAATGTAGTATCCGTGTGTCAAACGTGTGTCCAACCTATAGACGTGCGAGTGATTTCCCACCTTCGACAGCATGGAAAACAAAACTAATGGCCAGAAGCTTAATCGCGGTTTGCTTGAAGACAATTCGTTGTCGCCTAACGCGGGCCCTGCAGAAAACTACTGTACTTTGTACTTGCTAAAAATTCAGAATAAATATTGTTGCATAATGAGTAAGATGGGATGGTGAAGTCATATTTCTAAATATCAAGTAATGCACTTCGAGCGAGTGAGTGAATTATTCAATTAAGTCAGTCTCTCTCTCTCTCCCTCTCTCTCTCTCTCTCTCTCTCTCTCTCTCTCTCTCCTCTCTCTCTCCTCTCCTCTCTCTCTCTCTCTCTCTCTCTCTCTCAGCCTTGTTTTGCTGCAAACATCTGGACATTTTTCGAGTTTACCAACATTTCTGATTTATGCTGGAATTGCAGTCTCAAAAATAATCTAATATATGCTACTTAGAGCCTCTTGAAGGCATTTGCGTGAGAGACCTTCCAATTACTGCTATTTTATGGTTTATGTAAACCTCTAGCAATATGCTTCGAGTTATGTTTACTCAAAGATCTTTCTCACTGTGCGATAATTTTTAGTTTCTCACTTCTCAATTGTACTCCATCTCTGTTCTTGTCTCCCCCCCCACCCCCCGCCTCTCCAATTTGGCCGCCTTACGCTTCAGCAAGGTGGCCCGGTGGTCTAGTGGCTAAAGCTCCCGCTTCACACACGGAGGGCCCAGGTTCGATTCCCGCGGGTGGAAACATTTGACACGTTTCCTTACACCTGTTGTCCTGTTCACCTAGCAGCAAATAGGTACCTGGGTGTTAGTCGACTGGTGTGGGTCGCATCCTGGGGGACAAGATTAAGGACCCCAATGGAAATAAGTTAGACAGTCCTCGATGACGCACTGACTTTCTTGGGTTATCCTGGGTGGCTAACCCTCCGGGGTTAAAAATCCGAACGAAATCTTATCTTATCTTGTCTGACTACCTCTGCACACTGCCCTAGCCTTCATCGGCGCTTAATCAGCAAGTATTGCATAAATCATAATAAAAAATCAAAGAAAACCATTCAAAAGTAGTTTTCACATTCCACTATCCATTTCCGTACTTCGTTCCCTTGTCATCGGCGGTATATGAAAATTTAAACCAAAGGATAGATATCCCCAATATTTATGCCCAAAGAGAAGCCACAGTCCTAGATAATCACCTTGATGAGAGTGTGACATTGTTACCAATAGGAACGGAGCACACCACATTAAGGAGGGCTGAAGGGACGAAAGAGGTACAGGATGGGAAAGGAATTGGATGGTGGGAAAGCAATGGAAGAGGGAGAGGAGGGGACAGTGTCTCCGAGCGACCACCTGACCCTCTGCACAGATCAATGAAGCTGAATGCCAGTGTAACCGACCATGAAACTTGTCTGGCAAGTTTCCTCTGCCTGCCGGTGCTATGCCTAACCACTCCGTGTGTTTCCTGCTGTGTACCCACCCCGTGTGTTTCCTGCTGTGTAACCACCCGGTGGGGGTTCCTGTGTACCCACCCCGTGCGTTTCCTGCTGTGTACCCACCCCGTGTGTTTCCTGCTGTGTACCCACCCTGTGGATTTCCTGCTGTGTACCCACCCTGTATGTTTCCTGCTGTGTACCCACCCCGTGTGTTTCCTGCTGTGCTTCTTGTGCACTCAGCTGCCGTGCTTCTGTGCACCCACCTGCTGTGCTTCCTGTGCACTCACCCGCTGTGCTTCCTGTGCACCCACCTGCTGTGCTTCCTGTGCACTCACCTGCTGTGCTTCCTGTGCACTCACCTGCTGTGCTTCCTGTGCACCCACCTGCTGTGCTGCCTGTGCACCCACCTGCTTTGCTTCCTGTGCACTCACCCGCTGTGCTTCCTGTGCACCCACCTGCTGTGCTTCCTGTGCACCCACCTGCTGTGCTTCCTGTGCACTCACCTGCTGTGCTTCCTGTGCACCCACCTGCTGTGCTTCCTGTGCACCCACATGCTGTGCTTTCTGTGCACCCACATACTGTGTTTCCTGTGCACTCACCTGCTGTGCTTCCTGTGCACTCACCTGCTGTGCTTCCTGTGCACTCACCTGCTGTGCTTCCTGTGCATCCACCTGCTGTGCTTCCTGTGCACCCACCTGCTGTGCTTCCTGTGCACTCACCTGCTGTGCTTCCTAATATCCATGCTCGCGAAAGCATTTCTTGACATGCTTTCACTGTGTATTTCCTACTATTAGTTTCCCTAATTTATTTCCTGTTGTGCATCCGCCCTGTGTACTTCCTACTGTGTATGCATCTGGTGTATTTCCTACTGTGTATGCATCTGGTGTATTTCCTACTGTGTATGCATCTGGTGTATTTCCTACTGTGTATGCATCTGGTGCATTTCCTACTGTGTATGCATCTGGGGTATTTCCTACTGTGTATGTATCTGGTGTATTTCCTACTGTGTATGCATCTGGTGTATTTCCTACTGTGTATGCATCTGGGGTATTTCCTACTGTGTATGCATCTGGTGTATTTCCTACTGTGTATGCAACAGGTGTATTTCCTACTGTGTATGCATCTGGTGCATTTCCTACTGTGTATGCATCTGGGGTATTTCCTACTGTGTATGTATCTGGTGTATTTCCTACTGTGTATGCATCTGGTGTATTTCCTACTGTGTATGCATCTGGGGTATTTCCTACTGTGTATGCATCTGGTGTATTTCCTACTGTGTATGCAACAGGTGTATTTCCTACTGTGTATGCATCTGGTGTATTTCCTACTGTGTATGCATCTGGTGTATTTTCTATTTGAGTGATACTCAGCTGACAACGAGGGAGAGCAGGCTTAACAAGGCAAGGGAAAAGCGTTGATAAAAGAGGATGAATAAAAATAGGGTAAACGATGTCAGGAATGAGGGAGGAAGCGAGTGAGGGAGGGAGGAGAGTGAGGGAGGGAGGAGAGTGAGGGAGGGAGGAGAGTGAAGGATGGAGGAGAGTGAGAGAGGAAAGAGTGAGAGAGAGAGGAGAGTGACGGAAGAAGGATGGGA